AGCACACGTGGGAAACTATAATTTTCCATTAACTTGTATGTCTTTTCTAATCCGACATACGCGTTAATGAAAAATCATAGTTTACTCACTTGTACTGTAATATACAATTGAAATGATTGTTAATAATTTTGAATTAATGTCAGTTTCAATAACATGTTTACTCATCTAGAATAAGTATTTTGACGTGTAAAAGCATAACAATTAATGTTTATAATAAATAGCATTGTTTCTCTTTAAATAGGTAGCACTTTTCCTCTTGTATTGTTGCTAAAAATGCGTTATATAATGAAACCAGTGCGGTAATGAACTTCATTACGTAACTCAAATCACCTCAAATGAGTGTGATAATGGTGACTTATCCAAGCAGTATAAGTCGCTTGTGTAAAGATGAAGAATTACGATTCACTCGAAATCAATACTTTTCGAAAGAAAAACGCCGTGTTGCTTCACCGGAGATCTAAAAGAGGGCGAACCATGTTCAACCGGATTTCCCTTCCGCAGTAGCAAAATTGCGCCGCAACGTTCTGTATAGCAATACCTCGAAGGCGTCCGTTTCGAAATTTGTCGATGATTCTATGAGACGTGAAAAGAATACTCCCGGAAACGACATCTCAAGGGGAAACAAAGCAGGAAAACACGTCCGTTCTATATATATATACAAGTGGGAAAGACCAAAACTTATTGTTTTATTTAGAAAAAGATTACTGGGTTTCGCTTGTAGAACGCTAAGTGAACACGCTCGTTAATCATCGTTAGTATTATCTGGGCGAAGATAGTCATGACCCGCGGTCACGACACCGAAAGCAAATTTACCAAACCGGAAATTAAGCACCTTTGTGTGCCCCCGCGGACCGCTCCTTGTACCATTTTGCGTTAAAATGAATGTCGAAGTTCAATTTAACAGGAAAATTGGGAATCGTATTCGAATATGGTTCGAAACCAAATTCATTACTCGAAAAATAACTGGAATTTGTATAGGTATACAATATTCGTTTGAACCACGGTTTAATTAAAAAAACAAAAACTAAATTTAAACCATTTTTTTTTGATGATATTCAAAAATTTTAAAAAAGTTTTAAGAATTTAAGACCCAACTTTGAAGACCTATATCTCCTCAGGGGTACAACTTAGTATAGAGATAAGTGGCGTTAAATCATCTTCATTTATTGTCCTCTACATGTCTGTGCTCTGTGTCGGCTCTTATGTGAACCACCCTGTATTGTAATATACAGGCTGAGTCAGAAAGAATGTGAAATCCGAATACCGCAGATACTAGACATCAAAATATGACGATTTAACCTAACATCTCTTATACAATTATCGGTGGTTTTCAAGGCACAGGGTGTTGAAAGTTAAATTCTTATTTCTTCATATATGTTTATATATTTATATGTTTTCGAGCATGAGAAATATGAATTTGAAATTTGTTTTGTGATTACTCGTAGAGGGCGCTAGATACACACTGCACGTTTGAGATATCAAGTCATGACTATTTTGTCAGTTGAGGTATGGTGAATTAGAACCAGAGATCTGAAGGAGCTTTCAATTCTACACAAAAAAGGTAGTCTTGCTTACATTGTCTAAGTCTACTGATTCCCAAGTTATCTGCTTTTAATTGTTTCAAAGTAATTTTAAGGTTAACATTTAAAACAATAACTATAGCAATTAGTAACGATAATAATCGATAACAATAACAATTAATATTATGACCATATTCAAAAATCCTCACTATTAGAAAACTCATTATGTCGTGGCATTATCAAATTGGTAACAACTTTATTGTTGGTAAAAAATGATTATTGCACACGGAAATAAGATCAATGTTGACAATTAAGAAACAATTGTTGAAACAGAAGAATAAGCCAACTTTGCTTATGTTAAAAAATAAAAATTTTAGAAGAAAATATACATTTAAACATTTAAAACTAAATAATTCGACTGATAGACTTAGACAATTTAAATAAGAGTATCTTTTTATGTAAAATTGAATGCTCTTTATGATTTGTAGCTTTTATTGGTAGTAGATCGACAGCTAGAAAACTTATGATTTGATTTAGCGCCCTTTATGAGCAATAACAAAACAAATTTCGTATTTCTCATGCTCGAAAACATAAAACTACCAAATTTTAGAAGAAATGTTAGGTTAAATCATCATATTTTGGTGTTTAGTATCTCCGGTATTCGGATTTCCCATTCTTTCTGACTCACCCTGTATATTACAATACAGGGTGATTCACATAAGAACCAACATAGAGCAGAGACATGTAGAGGACAATAAATGAAGATGATTTAACGCAACTTATCTCTATACTAAGTTGTACCCCTGAGGAGTTATAGGCCTTTAAAGTTGGGTCTTAAATTTTTAAAACATTGAATATCTTCGTAATACATTAAACTAGAAAAACCAAATTTGGTATACGTTGTGAGTGTAGCGAGGGTATTAATTGGTAGCAAGTTGAGACCAATTGAGGCATTTCAAAGAGTTAATCACCTTGTATATTGTTTATAGAATATCATTAAATACTTGCAATCAAAATCCACATGGAATTTCTAACATAGAAGTTTCTTCTCCATGTTTTCTAGTATTAATTGGGGCAATATCTGCTGATCAATCAAAGTCTATTACGATTAATTTTTTGTTTATCCGATGATAAAGTATTGGGGAAGAATGAACTCTGCCCAACCCAACCCAAATCCTTACTACTCAAACCTTACATCTTGATCTCAACTTTACCCAATCTATGTACTCAAAGCCTCAAAATGATAAATTGCAAAGATGCACAGGAAAATTGTTTATTGAACCACTTTCAACCTAGCTAATATCATTTTCTAGGAAAAAGGGAACTCAACTCTATCATCACCAAACTTCCAAACACTCAAACACTTTACCCAACCTAAATCAAACTATAATTTAGAAAACCCCACAACAAACTAGTAACTAACTGGCTCTTGTCTAAAGCTCTAAACTCGAGGATGCGATTGAAAATTTGTAAATAGCTATAAACACCCTAGTCAAATGGTTTAAGTCTTGGAATATAGCACAAATCTAGGTTACGGAAAGTTGAAACAACTGCGAAAACACTATCCTAATTTATAAAACCCTCATTCGACCACTCATCACCTATGCCTGCGTTCTCTGAGGAAACTCGGCTAAATCAAATGTTAATAAGGTTCAGGTATTACAAAACAAAATATTATCCTTAGCAGTAGACTCCGAGTGGTATATCTCTAATGATCAATTACACAACCAATTACAAATTGACAAGATCGTAGCCTTTATAGGTAAAAGTACTACAGCCATATGACCTCAACAAAAAGAACATCCACTGACGTCTTGACGAAACTTGAAAAAACTACCACAAGACATCTACTTGAATTAAAAAAGCCATGTATAGTAATGTTAAATGGTCTGGCAAAAAAATTAGTAAATAAAACAAAACCTCAGTCCAAGTTAGTTTTTTTTAGAAACCTAAATCGTTCCAAGAAAGAATATTGGGTAAGGTTAGTTTTATTTTCAAACGTCAATCATGCTACGAAAGAATGTTAAATAAGGTTAGTTTTGTTTTTAAATGTGAATCGTCTCGCGAATTCTTTTGTAATGCCAATTAAACCGTGAAAGAATGTTAAGTAAGGTTAGTTTTGTTATGAGGTGTCAATCATCTCGAGAAAGGTGGTGGGGTAGGACTGGGGATGAAAGAGTGTTTGGAAGGGATATCAGAAAGAGAAGATTATGTTTGATGGTTTGTTTTTTTCCAGCAGGGTTGGAAGAAATAGAAGAGGTAGGATATTTTGGAGGACGTACAGAATCGGTACTGAAGGTGGGTACAATGTGAGGGAGGAAGTGAAGGTGGATAAAGTGTTGGAAGGAAGTTATGGAAGGGAAGATTAGATATGATAAAGGAGATAGAAGGAAATATTACAAAAGGACGGGTTATTCGGAGGCAGAAATAAATAATAGAAGAAGACGTGGAGATGTGGAGGGAGTTAAGCGACAAGGATAGGAACGTCCAGAGACAGGAGAGAAGGATGCAGATTAGGTGTTGTGGCAATGAGGAGAAAGCGAACAAGTGCTGGGCGGACGATGTGGAGAGGCTGGAACATATCATGAGAGGGTGTAGCGAGCTGAGGGAGGAATCGGAGGTAAATTTTGGAAGAGGATGGATGAGGGAGGCTACAGAGGAAGGGTGGTGATAATGCTAGATAGGTAAGTGGTTTATTATGTATTATTACGTAAAGTTAGTTTTCTTTAAAAACATTATGTCGGGTTTATAAGATGAGTTTAATCCAACATCAGCAAGTCATAAAACTATCCGTAGAAAATCAAGCAGCACTTTACACGAACGATATTAAAATTTCAAGATGGCCGAAAACAAAACACAAATAAATTGTGCCATATACAGGGTGGTCCGTTACTAATGGGACACAGAGCAACAGTGAATTCCTTACATTAAATTATTACGATTTAACCCAATTTATGTTAGTCCAATTGTTAATAACAACGAAGATACAGATGGTTAAAGTTAATACTTTATTTTCGTTTTTCTTTAATAATTTCGTTGTCTCTTACATTATGAACATGAAAATTGGTACATTATCATTTTTTAATACAATAAATAATAATTTGGTGTTAGTTTTGATTTATCTTTCAGATGGCGCTGTCTACCTTAAAAAACCACCCTTAAAGTAGTCATATCTTTTTCATCGTTAAAATTTTTACAACTCACATAACATAAAACAGTTTCTCAGACATTTTTACATAAATTTGGTATACCTATCAATATTCTCTAAAGTTCTCCGTTCCCGAGATAATCACTGTTTAAGGGCACTTTGCAAAATTTAATATCTCAGTAACATCAGTTGGCGTTGACAAAGTTTTTATTTAGTCAAACACTAGACAATCAGTTTGACATTCAGTTTCATTTTACGCTCAGTATTATTGTAATCAATGTATTTGTTACTTTGAAATAATGCCCCGGCATAATTTTTTTTCTAACACGGAAATGCGTGATATGGTGTGCATATACGCTCAAGAAAAGTTTAATGGAAGGGAAGCGTGCAGAAGATATTTATTAAAATACCCCAACAGAAGACAACCAAATCACAAGTTATTTAAAAATTTGTATGACCGCTTAGGTGAGACTGGTTCATTTCGTCCTAAACGAAATACAGGTCGTCCAAAAAAGATTTCCGTTGATGAAGAAGATGAAGTTTTAGTACGAGTTAGTAACAACCCAAAAGTTAGCTCTAGACGTTTGTCAGCTGCAACCGGGTTAAGCAAGTCGTCAATTCTACGAATATTAAAAAAAGAAAGACTGTATCCATACCATTTTGTACCTGTACACGCCTTACTGCCTACTGATTTAAGAGTTCGGTTAGAATTTGCTAATTTTATCAAAAATCGGCAAAATTCTGACCCATCGTTTATTGCCAACATTTTATTTACTGACGAGGCGACATTCACTCGTAGTGGGGTTTTTAATTTTAAAAATTATCATGTTTGGGAAACTGAAAACCCACACATGACACGGCAACGGCATTTTCAACATGAATTTAAAATAAATGTTTGGTGTGGAATAATTGGAAATTATGTGTTGGGTCCGCGGGAATTACCAAATAATTTGAACGGCCACAATTATTTACAGTTTTTGCAAAACCAAGTAGACGATATGTTGGCTGAGTTACCATTAAATATTTGGACTGTCATGTGGTTTATGCAAGATGGAGCACCACCCCATTTTTCCAGGCAAGTGCGAGATTATCTCGATATGAATTTTCCACGAAGATGGATTGGCCGAGGTAGTCATTACACTTGGCCACCACGAAGTCCCGATTGTAATCCTATGGATTTTTGCGTATGGGGATTTGTAAAATCCCTTGTTTACAAAGACAATCCTGAAACTCGTGAGGAACTGTGGCAAAAAATTGTAAAGGCAGTGGATATCATTAGGAATGAACAAATATTATTTAACATAAGAAGATCATTTTCTAAACGGATTGGAAAATGCATTGAAGCTAACGGTGGTCACTTTGAACACTTACTCTAATGCAGTTCATTTTAATTGTTATTATTGTTTCCTCTTTTTGTTCGATGTTATTATTATTAAAATGTTTAAATAAATTATAGTCGTTATTAAAATCGATTTTTAATATAGTAATTATGTTAATATTTTTGTAACATCAACTTATGTTTGTGGATAGTTAAATTATATCTGAAAGATAGATCAGAACTATACTAATTTATCATTTATCATCTTAAAAAGTAATAATATAAAAATTTTAATGTTCATAATTTAAGAAAAAGCGAAATTATTAAAAAAACAACGAAATTAAAGTATTAACTTTAACCAACTCTATCTTCGTTATTATTAACAATTGGACTAAGATAAATTGAATTAAATCGTAATAATTTTACGATTTAACCCAATTTATCTTAGTCCAATTGTAAATAAAGACTTTTTCACCGCCAACTAATGTTTATTGAGCATAGTGAAATTTTGCAATGTGCGCTTAAACAGTGATTATCTCGGGAACGGAGAACTTTAGAGAATATTGATAGGTATACCAAATTTATGTAAAAATGTCTGAGAAACTGTTTTATGTTATGTGAGTTGTAAAAATTTTAACGATGAAAAAGATATGACTGCTTTAAGGGTGGTTTTTTAAGGTAGACAGCGCCATCTGAAAAAGAAATCAAAACTAATACCAATTTATTATCGTCTAAAAAAATACTAATGTACCAATTTTCATGTTCATAATGTAAGAGACAACGAAATTATTAAAGAAAAACGAAAATAAAGTATTAACTTTAACCATCTGTATCTTCGTTATTATTAACAATTGGACTAAGATAAATTGGGTTAAATCGTAATAATTATATGTAAGGAATTCAGTGTTGCTCTGTGTCCCATTAGTAACGGACCACCCTGTATATCATAAAAAATGAATTTTATGATAAATATAAAGTGTGACATATTAAATTAGGCTAAAATTTTCTGATTTTTCCAAAAATTTGATTATTTATGATGTATTTAAAATATCTTGTTATTTAAACAGTGTGTTTAAGAGGTAAATACTAAAAAGAAAAAGATTAAATCGTAAAATAAGAATGAAAGAGGGAGATAACCACTTTTGTTTTATAAATTTGCTTGGTGGGTTTAATTCGGGTTAAAAGCACCTTTAGGACACCAAGATAAGCCAATTTAACATCTTATGTGAGGAGGGGGCGATAAAACGTTTATTCCTAAACGATCTCGTAACTTTTTATAAGCAACCTAAATTAAAAGATAAAGAAACACGGCGATAAATTTCGTTTTAATAAAGTAATAAAATACAAATAAATAGTAATAAAGCGTTGTATAAACGAGGTGTAATTGATAAAGATTGTGCTCGAATTGATGGCGGGATAAGTATGGATCGTTCAAATTCGTGCATTGTAGTTTTTATAAAACTTTCAAATAAATCGACCCTGCAATATAAACCAGGAACTCCACATCCAAACTCTGCTGCTGATGCTATTCCAATTTGAAATCCGTTACAAAAAAGCGGCGCGCCAGTAGCAGTTTTACAAGCAATTTGCGAGTTAGAATTAATTGTATCTAAAGCGCAAAACGCAGTTTCACTAAATTTCATTTTTAACGAATTTGTGCAATTTTTTCGATTCATAAGGGTGGTTAATTTGCATTGAATGCGGTATTTATCTAAACTGGCGTTACTTATTAAGTAACTTTGATTTTTAAATGTCATAGTGGTCGCGTGACAACACTCGTTTTTTAATAACATTTTATCGAAAGCTTTTGATGAAATTAATTTGGTTATTTTAACGCCTCTTGTTTCGGTTTCAATTGCTTTTGAAAGCTTTATTAAGCAGATATCGCTGTTGTAATCGACGTGTCTATAATTGGGGTGAGCAACCACTTTTTTTATACGAATTGGTTCGATTATATTCAATACGACGCTTTGGGTAAATTGTACCCTAAAGTTATTGATGTTGGAGTAATTCATTCCTTTGCAACAATTCGCGGCAGTCAAAACCCATTTCTCCGATATTAAGCTACCACCACAATGCTTAATGTTTAATACTTCATTGAATATTATCGTTCCTAAATGTAAATATTCGTCTTCTGTACAATTATATGATGTGGCGTAGTTTTCGGGATTAATTGAATTGAAGCCATTTATGTTTATTACAGAAATTATTAACCATAAAATAATTAATTTGTGGAACATAAATGAAATTGACTTTGAAATTGACTTAGTGTGTCAATGAGAAATAAAACTTTTTCAATTCGTTGCATTCAAACTCAGTAATGTTTTCGTTTCGAATCTGCAAAAAAACACATTAGGTTGCATACTATTTGAAAGATCAGCCGCAGTTCGTGGTACACTGTATTAAATTGAAAAGCAATTTCCTTTCAATCTCAAGAAGCCAACAAAAGCAACAATATGGTGGTATTACGGCAACAGAGTCCATTCAATTTACAATGCAATCTACGTAACTTCAAAAAGACGTGGTAAAATAATAAGAAAAAAAAAAGACGTGATAAACACTTTTGTGCATTATTCGAGATAAATTTAGAACACGAAATGTGACTCACAAAGTGACTATTTCGAGATGAATTTCATAAAGGGAACGCGTCGCTTTCACGTACATTTCAATTAATAACTGTACGATGAATTTAAGAACCGAATTACACGGTGTAATTAAATAATTTCCTGCTATGTCGGAACCTTAAATAATTAGACACTTTGTTATTTCGAACGAAAGCTTCTTTCCCTTTACGTAATGAAACGTAAACAAAATTAATTACGAACTCCTCTATTTCAGCCATGTTTTTATACCTAAGAATTTCTTTAAAGTCGAAACGTTTATTTTAGTTGAACAAAAATATTCGACGTAGAAACGATTTGACGTTGAAATAAATTTGTTCCTGGCGCATTGTAAACAGGTTCTTGGCACCCTCGCCCCCTTATTCCTGCGGAACCGTAAAAGGATGAAATTACGGGTGAGAGGTCACATGGGGGCCAACCAATCGCCCCAATCGCCTGCAGGACATGCGGTCGTTGTGGTGTGCCTCTGTTCTACTATGCTCCGTTAATTTCCAGCACCCATTTTCGTTACTGTGACTTCACAAACGATTGAGATGTCCAACAAATTTAACTTGATTAAATCAATTTCTACTTTGAAGTTTAAAATACTCTATTTCAAAAACTATTTGAGATATCACCATGAAATAAGAAACATTTTAAAGCAAATTTAATTAATTTTTAATGTGGTAAAGATCATGCCTTTGAGCACTCACATTTTCATGTACTCATTTTTTCAATACAACCCTGTTTGTATGTAACTTTGGTTTAAAATCAAAAAAGTTTAAAGAATTGTATCTCAATAACTGATTGAGATGTCTAGATGAAATAAGAAGCATTTTGAAGCAAATTCAATGTATATTCAGCGAACCAAAAATCATCTTTTTATTTCTATAGATTTCCATGTTACGATTTTTTAATCAACTCATTTATTTCAATAAAATTAATAAAATCGAAATTAAAGAAATCGTATCTCAATAACTAATTGAGATATCACCATAAAATAAGAAGCATTTTAAAGCAAATTTAATTAGTTTTTAATGTGGTAAAGAGCATGCCTTTGAGTACTCACATTTTCATGTTATCATTTTTTCAATACAACCCTGTTTGTGTATTTATGCAACTTTGATTTAAAATCAAAAAAGTTTTAACAATCCTATCTCAGTAACTAATTGAGATATCATGATGAAATAAGAAGCATTTTGAAGCAAATTTACTGTATATTCAGCGAACCAAAAATCATTTTTCTATTCTTATAGATTTCGATGTTATGATTTTTTAATCAACACATCATTTATTTCAATAAAATTAATAAAAGCGAAATTTAAGTAAGCGTATCTCAAAAACTAATTGAGATATCACCATGAAATAAGAAGCATTTTATAGCAAATTTAATTAGTTTTTAATGTGGTAAAGATCATGGCTATGAGTACTCACATTTTCATGTACTCATTTTTTCAATACAACCCTGTTTGTATGTAACTTTGGTTTAAAATCCAGAAAGTTTAAACAATCGTATCTCAGTAACTAATTGAGATATCTTGATGAAATAAGAATCATTTTGAAGCAAATTTTATGTATATTCAATGAACTAAAAATTATTTTTCTATTCCTATAGATTTCGATGTTACGATTTTTTAATCAACACATCATTTATTTCAATAAAATTAATAAAACCGAAATTTAAGAAAGCGTATCTTAAAAACTAACTGAGATATCACCACAAAATAAGAAGCATTTTAAAGCAAATTTAATTAGCTTTTAATGTGGTAAAGATCATGCCTTTGAGTACTCACATTTTCACGTTATCATTTTTTCAGTACAACCCTGTTTGTGTATTTTTGCAACTTTGGCTTAAAATCCAGAAAGTTTAAACAATCGTATCTCAGTAACTAATTGAGATATCTTGATGAAATAAGAATCATTTTGAAGCAAATTTAATGTATATTCAGCGAACCAAAAAGCATTTTTTCATTTCGATAGATTTCGATGATACGATTTTTTAATCAACCCATCATTTATTTCAATAAAATTAATAAAATCGAAATTTAAGAAATCGTATCTCAATAACTAATTGAGACATCACCATAAAATAAGAAACATTTTAAAGCAAATTTAATTAGTTTTTAATGTGGTAAAGATCATACTTTTGAGTACTCACATTTTCATGTTATCATTTTTCCAATACAACCCTGTTTGTATGTAACTTTGGTTTAAAATCAAAAAAATTTAAAAAATCGTATCTCAATAACTGATTGAGATATCTAGATGAAATAAAAAGCATTTTGAAGCAAATTCAATGTATATTCAGCGAACCAAAAATCATCTTTTCATTTCTATAGATTTCGATGTTACGATTTTTTAATTCAACCCATCATTTATTTCAATAAAATTAATAAAATCGAAATTTAAGAAATCGTATCTCAATAACTAATTGAGATATCACCATGAAATAAGAAGC